CAGGGGCAAGCAAGGCAGCCATTGGTACAACAGACGCCACACCCCAGGGCTAAGAGGAGTCCCATATTCCTTCCCAACAAAGATCCAGGTCTTGGCTTCCAGAATGGACATGGTGGGTCACCTTTGGCTGCTCCCCAGTTCTTAGCCCAGTGAGTGCCACGTAGTAGGTGCTTAATACATTTTATTCACTGACCGCCTCCTCACAGATATCTCAGAGACGATCTGACGCTGCCCAAACACAACACGAACTGACCCAACCAGTCACAAGGAGCCTAGCCCACTCCGTGGCACCATTCTTTGAGTGACTACAGGAATTTTGTCCTTCAGCTGTCACATCAATATGCCAGAAATTCAGACACTTCCAAATGTAAGACCCAGTCCCGTGCTCCTCATAATTCACCAACTCTTTTCTCAATGACACCTGAACCCTTTATGTGGGAGACAATTTGGCTGATTCCCCATCAAGGAACACTATTGGCCGAGGTTCTAGATGTGTCAGCAATATCCTCTTTTGGGATTGGTAGTAAGCTTCCTGGAAAGGGAGCAGCTCCTACAACTCTCTGTGCAATCATTTATCCTCCCTCAGGCGTCTGGGAGAGATCAATGATTAGTCAAGCGTTAACTTAAAAAAGAGAAAAGGTCAAACCACACCCCTGTAAATCATACTCATTAGTCTTTTGTGTCAGACTTAAGGAGGATAACCAGTAAGATGCAGGCCCTTGGGCTCCGTCTTGGGCTCTGCAGGTTCCACTATGATTGGTGGAAGCTACACTAATTATTTATGCTCTTTGCAATCGAAATGTCAGTCGACAGTTCTATCCTCCTTGCCTCCTAATATGATGGAAGGATCAAAAGGTTTTAGCCCAGCACAAAGGAAAGACGTGCAGAGTTCAGGAACCAACACTGAAAAATAATGAGGATAAGGAGAGAGAACCAAATGCTGTGGTCTACCAGTTTCAGCATCCATCTCCGGCCTCTCTCATGAGCTGCAGGCTTGTATTGCCATCTGCCTCCTGGACGTCTCAAGTGGATGGCCTGCAGGCGTCTCAAGTAGGGTATCAGTCTCTCAGTCACTCAGGCTCGAAACCTCAGGGTCACCCTCACCTCCCAACTTGGACCCATTCCAAATCTCCTTCACAAACAGGTTATGAATAGTTGAGAGACTGAGGCCTCCAGTAGAGACCCTGGAATCCTAACCCAACCCTCACCCGGATTCCGAAAATGACATTTTGCATCCTCCATGGCTCCATCCATCCAGTCAGTTAGTCAATAAACATTTATTAAGCGCCTACTGTGCACCAGGTATTGTGCTAAGTACTAGAGATACAAAAAACTAGCAAAAGACAGTGCTTGTCCTGAAGGAGCTCACAGACTAATGGGGGAGACAAGAAACAGACAAATACATTGGTTGGTTGATCGTTGGCCTTCGTGCTCAAAGAGGACCGAAATGATATCGCAATGTCTGGGTTAAAGTCCAGTGTGTCTGACTGCGGCTGATCAGATCAATATGAGCTCAGAAGGCTCTACCACAAGTCGGGCACAAATGGTCCATGGGAGCACTTGGGACGGATTCTCTAATTTTGTACATCTCACGTTTCTCTTGATCTGCTTCAATTCCTCCTCACTCATCGAGCACAGGGCCTTCTTTGGTGAGGGCATGCCGTGCTGGTCAGTCCTATGCCAGTGTCTTTCATGCCTCACAAATCAATTCCAAAGTTCTTGAGAGAGACCTTGAGAGTGTCCTTGTATTGCTTCTTCTGACCTCCGTGTGAAGGCTTGCCTGGTGTGGGTCCTCTGTAAAATGGTCTTTTAGGCAAGCCTACGATTGGCATTCAAACAACATAACCAGCCCATTGGAGTTGTACTCTCTGCAGTAGGGTTGGAATGCTTGGCAGTTGAGCTCAAGAAAGGACCTCAGTGTCCGGGAACCTTATCTTGCCGGGCGATCTTGAGAATCTTCCGAGAACAATTCAAATGGAAGTGATTCAGTTTCCTGGCACAGTACTGGTATCCTGTCCAGGTTTCACAGGCGTACAACAATTAGGTCATCACAACAGCTCTGTACACCTTCAGTTTGGTAGGCGGCCTAATACCTCTCCTCTCCCACACTTTCCTTCAGAGTCTCCCAAACACTGAGCTAGCTCTGACAATGTGTGTGTCAACCTCATTATCAGTGTGTACATCCCTGGAAAGGACACTGCCAAGTGAACTTATCCACAGCATTCAAAACTTCTCCGTTTGCTGTAACCGATGGCTCCATATATGGGTGGTGTGGTGGCTGATGGAGCACCTGTGTTTTCTTGGTGTTAATTGTTAGGCCAAAATTAGCATAAGCAGCAGATAATCTATTCCTACTTTGTTGCATCTCAGCTTCAGAGGCTGCATTGAGTGCACAATCATCTGCAAACAGAAAACCATACACCAACACTCCCTCCACTTTGGTCTTGGCTTGTAGCCTTTTCAAGTTAAATAATTTACCATCAGTGAGGTAGCTGACCTTGATGCCAATGAGCAAACAAATATGTACAAACAAGCTACATATAAGAAAAACAGGAAATAATTCAAAGAGAAGGAGCTAGAATTAAGAAGCACATATGTGGCTTCAGTGGCCATTAATTTACTAAGAGGCGATACCCTAGGGAATGGGCAGATCCTGGTGAGTCTGCCCAGCGTGCTAAGCTCCAGGCTGTAGGCAGGCATGTGAGGGAGCCTTGAGGAATGGGACAGAGAAGATCGTCATCTACTCTGATTCCTAGGCGGTGGCCGTAGGGCTGGCCAAGTGGCCTAGGCATTAGAGAGCCCTACACCGGGCAGTTACAAGTTGTCCTTGTTGGGAATCATGAAAAATGGAGAAATTTTGCTGATTTTTTCCCCCACTGCTTAGAGTTGTTTGTGGGACATTTCTGCACCCACCAGAAGGTGACACAAAGTTAGTTAAGCAGGTTGGGGCTGTTTCAAAAATGGCAGAAGTTGGGCTCATTGCCAATCAGTCAGTCAGTCAACAGACATTTATTGAACACATTCTAGGTGCTGGGCACTGTGAGAAACGCTGGATATGGGCAAGGGGAGGGTGATACAATCTTGTACTGGGTGTGGAACCATGTGACCCCCTGTCTGAGAATGAAGTAGCTATGCCTGCCTAACTGGGTTCCCTGCACCAATCAGAGTCCTCAGATAACCCAACTGTGCCCCAAATTGTCTTCATCGAGCATAACGACTCATCCCATCTCGGTTTGCCCCTGCTGATCAGCAGCTGCATGTTGGTGCATCTGATTGGCCAGGTCAGCTGTCTAGCCTGTCAGGGCCCATGTCTGTGATGAATCCACATCAGCCTACAAGAGGCCTCTCCAGTCCAGTAGTTTCTGGAATCGGATCTCCAGACAGACTTGCCTGCTAAGAATGGACTGCTTCTGTACATAGTTCTGATTGATTCCCCCTGGCCTTTCCTCATTCCTTCCTCCTTATTAGACTGTAAGCTCCTTGAGGTTAGGCATCGCCTTTTGTCTCTTTTTTTTTTTTGTATCAGCGCTTAGCACATAGTAGGTGCTTAGTAAATCTTTATTGGCTGCCTGACTGACTGACAGTGAAGAGTCACCAGGGTCTTGTTTATTCTTTCCAACAGATCCATATATATAACCTGGAGAAAAAATTTGGATTCTGCTCTATTGATAGAGTCACTTTTCTCTAAGATGGTTTAGAAAAACTCCTCAGAAAGTTCTTGGGAGACCAGGGATGGTGCTGTTGGGAGGCACCTTTCTTTTTTAATAGTATGGGAACTTGCTATAGGACTATGGTGAATGTGTGTTTACTTGCAATACAGTGAATTCCCTGGCCCCTGTATGGTCATCCTGAGTCCCCAGACGAAGGGGAAAGCGAGTCCTAATTTTGCCCCACTGCCAAGGTCTCAAAGGGGGCAAAGATTGGGCCCCCTCCCCAGAGAGGGAATATTGATTAGGGGAAAAGCCTTGGGATCAGCTCAGGTCCTAGGATAGTAGGCATGCAGGAGGCTCATGACCTCATACTATGGATGCTCCTGATATGTGATGAAGGACCCACAACTGTACTGAGCTTGGCACCATCCACCCTGGGGCCCTGAGGCTTTAGTTAAAAGGCACAAACTTGTGGCTACTGGACAGGGGAAGCACCTACAGCTGCTGTCAGGGGGAGCACAGATCTGTTTTTCAGTCCTAACAGAGAAGTTCACAGATCAGAACTATGGTGGACTCTGGAGGATGCCCAAGGGCAGTGAGGGTTCTCGAGCCCTATGGGAGAGAAGGCTTTTGTGGTGGGCCCCTTGCCACTAGCAGATTAGGAGTAGTTGTGTTCCTGAAAAATCCTTTCCTTACACCTTATCCCACCCCCTTCTCTTACAGTTTGGGCTCAGAGAGCCAGGTAAGTCATGGCACTGGAAACGGGTAATCAAGGGCCACAGGTGCCTCCCCAGACATTTTTTAGATGTACCGCCATCCACCCACACCTCCGCTATCTTGTATTTGTGAAGTTGATCTCTTGAAACCCCCAAGTGTAAGATTTGACATTTATCCCTATTTGATTTCATCTTATGCAGTGTGGCTCAGTGCTTTACCCTGTCAAGAGCTTTTTTGTTTGGATCCTGGTTTAGTCATCCATGTGTTAACTGTCCAACCCAAATGGGTGTCATCTGCAAACTGGATAACCATATTGTCCATCCCTTATTCAAGTCATTGATAAGAATGTTCCATGGCACAGGGCAAAGCATAGATCCTTGGGACACCCCACTGGAGACCTGCCTCCAAGATGATGCCAAGCCATTGCTGACGATTCTTTGGGTTTGGCCATTCAACGAATACTGAATTCACCCAACTGTACTCTTTTCCAGCCCACAACTCTCCATGGGAATCCCATGAAAGACTGTCAGATACTTCGCTTAAATCTTGGCCAACTTCATTTCCTAATCTGCCTGCCCATTTAGTTATCCTGTCCAAAAAAGTGGGGAAAAAAAAAAAAGGAAATTGCTCCCGCATCTTACAAATTGGTCTTTATTTACAGCCTTTGCAGATTTTAGACACTGGGGGGAGAGACAGAATCCCTGGCTCTGTCCCAGGCCCTAGTTCCCTGAGGTGATCCCCACAGTCCAGGGTGGCCTGAAGGCCTCTTTGTCATCTTTAGACTTGAACCTTGGGCTTGGATCTTGTTGCCTGGGGCAGGGGTCACTTTAAATCGACCACTGGGGATGGGGGAGGCACCTGGTGATGGGGTTATTGTCAATGTGACCATCTTCCTGGGGATTGGAATGGGCCCTGTAAGGAGGGTCCAAGGGAGTGAAAGATCACACCCGGGGAGGCCCCTAGGAATGGGAAGAGTCCTTTTAGACAGGAGGCCTGAAGATGGAGATTGTCCCTGATAGGTTGGACTGGGGGGACAGAAGGATATCCCTGAGTCCAGTATTTCAAGGGGGGATGGGAGTCCTTTGGTGTCCAGCCTCAAGGGCTCATTCTGTGGAAAAGATGAAGGAGTTAGTGAGCTGATGGCAAGGAAGAAGGGAGAAGATTGGGACAGGAAGATGGAGATGCAGGGATGCAGAGTAATACAAAGGCAAGGAGACCAAAATATGGACAAGAACAGAGAGGGGAGCATGGAAGGATTAGGGGCAGACATGACTAGGGCAGGGAGGGGGCAAGAAGGAGGCAGGGGTGACTGACCTTTCAGGGGTTGAGCGGGGGTGTCTTCCCTGGTGAGATCAGCTCCGAGTGACTCAGCACCTCAACCACCCTGCTAAGGAGTTGGCTGCAGTGACGGACCTGGTGGGAATGTGGGGTCAGAGGAGGAGATGGCTGCACCCAGCGCCCCATTGCTGCCCACCCACCTGCTGCCTCTTACCTCCTGCTCCAGCCCCGCCAGACGCTGCTCATAAATCCGAATTTGACCCAGATGCTTCAGGGCTGTGTCTACCCTGTGTTTGGAAGGGAAGCAGAGGTCACCCTCAGAAAAGTCCCTTCCTCTGCGACATCTCTGCCCCACCAGGGACAGCCCCCAACCCAGAGAACCTTCATTCTCAAAGACTTCTTCCCTTCACTTCAGAGCTGTCCCGTCTCCTCCCACCTGCTGCCCCAGAGGGGTCTCCTCACTTCTGGGATGTTCTCCGGAGCCTCTCCGAATCACTCTCCCTCTTGTCCCGGGCTTGCCTGAGGAGGAAGTTCTCCTTCTGCACCGACTCCCACGTTAGCAACATCTGCTCTGTCTTGTTGGACAGGTGCAGCCCTGGCGGGTAGCAGGAGAGGGCTCAGCCTAGGACCCCCAGGACCCCGGAAGACCACCTCCTGGGGAGCCCTGCCCCCCAGCCCACTACCAGGAAAGCATACTGAAGTCCTCTGCTGAGGGGGGGATCCGCCCTCCGAGACTGCGCCAGGGATGCCTCATCAGGAGGAGGATGTGGGAGATGATGATGAGGGGTGGGGCCAGTGCTGGGCGGTTGTGGAACTCTCGGATCAGCCCGTAGCGCTGAAACTTCCAATACTGGTCACTGTTTCCCTGCACCTTTCCAAAGGTGTAACTGTGGGACCAGAGGGCAAGGTCAGAGGACAACTCATTGACAGTCAAGGATCATTTGATCAAAAGACATGGACCAGGGGTCAGAAGGGGAGTGTAAAATGATTATCAGGTCAAAGGGTCATCAGGGTCAAGGATCAGGTGGTCAGACATAAGGGGGTCACTGAATCAGGGCTGGGGCAGTGGTTACAAGAAGAAATCAAACATAGGTCATTGAATCATGGGTCACAGGGTCAGAGATTATTGGTCAGTAAGTCAAAGGTCTTTGGAGTGAGAGGTCAGTATGGTGAAGATTTAAAAGACGGAAGTCATTGGGTCAGAGGAGAAAAAAATCTTTGGAGCAGAGAGTCAGTGGTCAGTAGGATGTGGACAATTTAACTCAACAAACATTTATCAAGCACCTACAACATTCTGGGCATTGTGCAAGGCATTGAACACAGTGAAAATAACACAATCTCTGCTTTTGGGGAACTTCTGTATAACGTGTACATAGGTAAGTAAAAGCCAGGAAGGGAAGGGAAATCAGGAAGGGTTTACCCCAGCAGAGAGCCCCAGGGCTGAGCCTCTGAGGAGAGAGAGCATTCCAGGCATGGGAGAAAGGTCCAGCAAAGGCAGATGTGGGAAGCGGGAACATGAACAGGAAATAAGAAACGGCAAGGTCTCGAGAGACCTTTGGGAGAATGTGGGGAGCTGGACGGTGAAGCATCACAAAAGCCGGGCTCACTTGGAGGCGACTGGGAGCCACAGAATATTTTTGAGCAGGGGAGATCTGATCTGACACCATCAGATTGGGTCTCGGGAAGGCACACATCTTTTGTAGCTGTTTGGCAGCTGGATAGAAGGAGGAGAGGCCAGGAAAAGGAGAACAACTAGGAAGTCCAGGTAGGAGAAAGGTGTTGAGATCTTGAAGTGGGCAGCAACACTTACCTATTTTATGTTGTTACCGAGTGGGAGTGTCTATAAGTGTGTAATGTAAACACAAAACACATCAATAACTCTTTTAAAAAAGACTTGGCAGAAGGTGAAAGTTGAGAATGACTGGGGCTAAGAATGTGGGAGACTGGCAAGATGGCGGCACCTTCAACAATAATAGGTAAATCCTTCAGAGGGTCTTTGGTAAGGCTGAGTCTGGAGGGTAGTGCTGGCACCACATTCAAGTGGAGACAGTCCTTTAAGGTAGGGACTGCGGGTAACTGTCTCCATTTTACAGATGGGGAAACTGAGGGACATAACGTTTAAGGAGACTTGCCCATCCATGGCAGCTTTTTGAACTGGTTGAAAGTGAGGGGAGATAGAAGATGACAGACAGCCTGAGGGGACTGCAGGATCAAGGAGAGAAGAGGTGTGGAGCAGGTACTTGATGGGGCCAGGTGCTCTGGGATGGAGGAAGAGCAACAGCATTTGTTTGATTAGACCCTTGATGAAGACCCAGCTGAGGTGAGATAAGAGGAATCTGGAGCCCGTGTGGTTGTGTGCTCAACAACACGCCAACAGGAACAGAGAAGGTGGGTGGTGAGCACAATCAGCCTCATCCCTGGGAGACAGGGCGTGGGCCAGGACAGAACAAGGGCGTGAGGGGAAGAGCATGGTGTGTTTGAATGAGTTAACTATGGAGGGCAAAAGGGAGGTTGTGGAGGGGGAGAGAAGAGAGACATGACTGACTGGGAGTCACAGTAAGGACAAAGAACAGATGTGGAGCCTCGAGAAGAGAGAGGAATGGAAAGAGGGGGGAATTTCAGAAAGGGAGGCTCATGGCTGAGGCTGAAATGAAGGGCGTGATCCTCTGTGGGCTGCAGAGGGGGGCCACCCTCTCCAGGAGTGCAGATGACAGAAGGGGCCAGGGAGGAAGGGGTGGAGTCTGTGGGCAAGGTCAGGGACTCAGGGGTCATTGGCAGGGCTAGGCACCTGAACATGGCGATGAGAAGGTTGAGCAGAAGCACATTGGCCACCAGCAGGAAGATGACCAGAAGCAGCAACACCAGCCAGTTGGCATAAATGGAGACACAGGAGCCCGAGGGGGACCCTGGAGGCTGGGCCCACGTGCCGAGCTCCGTGGAACAGTTCTCCAGCTGCATCAGGGTCACTGCGGGCCGCCGGGAAGACAGGACAGAGACAGGGACAAAGTCAGTTACGGAGACAGCCAGAGACATGAGACACGCAGGCACACAGAGAGAGAGCGAGAGACGTCTGGAAGGCCCTGCTTACCATCCATGTCTCCCTGGGAGACCTGGCCAAAGATCTGCAGGTAGGGCCGGTAAAAAACCCGTCTCAGGATAGCCGGCAGGTCACGGTCCTGGGGCCGGAGCAGCCCCTCGGTGGCCACCCCATAGGCCACGAGCCACACCCCCAGAAAGAAGAGGAAGAAGAAGACATCCTTCATCTGCGGGATAGGGAAGGGGGGCTGAGGAAGCAGCAGGTGGCTTCTTTCTCCTCTTCCCCCCTCCTGCCCTTCCCTTTCTCCTCTTCCCCCCTTCCCCCCTTCTCCTCTTCCCCCTTCCCCTGCTTTCCCCCATCTTTCTCCTCTTCCCCCCTCCCCACCCTTCCTCCTTTCTCCTCTTCCCCTCCCCCCTTCACCCCATTCCCACATTCTCTTTCCTTGTCCAGCCTCAACCTCACCATCTTGTGCACAATCACGATCTTGGGTCCGAGCTGCTTATTGACCGTGAAGATGTGCAGCAGGCGGAGGGTGAAGACCATGAAGTCCAGGCAGAGCACCGCCCGGCCCAGTTGGTACAGCTCTACCGTTAGCCTGCGCGTCAAGGGAGGGAAAAACAGCCACCAGAGAAACCCATCTGCCGGGTCCTGGGGCAAAGTCTCTCAGAAAGTCCCTGAGAATGGGGAGGTGAGAGAGGCGTGCCCTGCTTTGAGAAGGAGCCTGGGCTGGGGGAGAGGCCTGGGGAGCACAGGCAGCACTGGGGACTGGGAGAGCAGCTTTAACCCCAGATGCGTCCTAGAGAGTCGGAGATGACTGGAAATACGCGTAACAAAGACCTATGGGCAAGATGTGGACCGCTCGCCCTCTTAGGGGTGCAGAACCTAATCTAAGTCCCAGCTCCTCTCCTTACTGCCTGCGTGGCCTTTCCCCTCTCCCTCTGAGGCCGCTTCCCTCTTGGTAAAATGGTTCCATGAGCCTCCGACGTGGGAGCTCAGGCAAAGCCTCTGGCATCATTTGCTAAATGAGATCCTAAGATCTCTAGGATGCCTCCTGGCTGCCACAATCTCTCAGCTTCTAAGGCGGTCTCTGGGTTGAGGGGAAAGGGATCCAGGTAGGCCAGAGGACTCACACCGCCAATATCAGTCCCTGAAAGAGGCCTCGGGACATTTTGTGTGTCCTGGCGAGAGATCAGCAGGACATTTCAAGGAAGGCCTTTGAGCTAAGGAGCTCAGGACAACCAGAGATGCCAAGGAAGCAGCAGCTGGAAACAGGATTTTCAAGGCCCAGAAGGTAAGCAAGAGGTTAAACATTGTCCTTAAAGCAGAAGAAGGGAAGAGTAGCTTTGGTTAGGGAGGCTTAGAGAAGAGTTAGTGCTTAGAAAGACGCAGGTTTTCATGCCACTTTGGTGGAAACCAAGGGGGCCTGGAGTTCCTGAGGGAGAAGGGGCATCAAAGAAAGTAAAGGGGGTGGCCCCTCCCCACCCGAAGTCGCAGGATCAGAGGTCACTTACCTGCAGCTGATACCCAGCAGGAAGAGGCCGAGGGCAACGAGGTCACACTGGTTCCAGGTGTCAGCGAGGTAAAGGCCCAGCCTCCGACTCAGAGGCAGCTTCCCAGGCTCTTGGGGTGTGCTAACCCCAAGGTTTCCCCAGCCCCCCGACAGACCCTGTCGAATTTCCTCACACAACAAGGTGAAGACCCAGAGGTAGAGCAGATACTCAAGGGCAGTGGGTGATGTGGGTGATTTGGGTTGGATGTCCAGCAGGAGAACCCGGGCAAAGAGCAGAAGGAACAGGAGGTAACTGACCACGTTGCCCAGGAAGATTGTCACCGGAGCCCCCCAGAACCGGGACCAGCGACGGAGGTACTGGGCCCACTGCCGCTGGCCTGGGCACCAGCTGCGCTCCTGCGCCTGGAATGACATCCTGGTCCCCGGCTTCTCCGGGATGTCGGCCTGCCTGCAGGAAATGGGTAGGGAAGGCAATGGTTACCGCTAAACCTGGCCAAAGTAGGACCCTCTCCCCACCAACTCAGGGGGAAAACGTCCACCCTGTCCTCACCCTGAGGGGCCATCGCCATTGACGCCATCCACATTCGGCCCCCACTGCTCTCTCTTCAGCAGCTCCTCATCAATGGGTCTGCAGGCAGTTGGCAAAGGGGAAAACAGAGAGGAGTTGGAGGCCACTGAATCAAAGGGGAAACTGAGGCTCAGAGAGATCTTATGGCTTGCCTAAAGTCACTGTAGCTGTCCAGTTGTGAATTTGAAACCAGAGAACCTTGGGGTGGGGAGGGTGCCCGGATTGTGTTCTGTCCCAGCATGCAGGGGGCCCCTTGGGGACAGGGATGGGGCCTAGCACCAGGTTGGGGAGGGTGACAGAGAGTCTCACCTAAAAGTGATCAGGTTGGTGTAGATGAACGGGGGGCAGAAGAAGGTGAGGACCAGGGCCCAAACGGGTGTGCTGCTGTCCATCTCTCCCCACCACTTGTCAGTCAGCAGGGACTGGGGGCATGGGATGGGAGTTAGGGCCCTGAAGATCCCCATGGCCCCCAACCCCAAGATAACCCAGGAAAGAGCAGTCAATCTCCCTCCCAAGGACACATGAGAAGTGGGAACTCCTAGGGCAATGGTGGGGATGGGGTGAGAAGAGAAGCCCTCACAGTTTCAAGGCAATACTTGTAATGCTCCCTAACTCAGTCTCCATCCCACTTCCCAGAGCAGTAGAGGCCTTGGACTCCCTCCTTTGTCCCCTGGGAGCTGCCCCTTCCCTCCTGCCCTCATGCCCATCTCTCCTTCCCTGCCTGCAGTCCACCATCCACTCAGCTGGGGATCTTCCTCATTTATAGGTCTGGCCGGGTCACCCACTGGTCATTAACCTCCAGTGGCTCCTTATTGCCTCCAAGATCCACTACACAATTCTCTGCTTGGCTCGTAGGGCCCTCCATAACCCGGCCCCCTCCCGCCTTTCCAGTCTTCTGCCTCACACACTCGGTCAGCCAGCGACACTGGCCTTCATGCTGTTTCACAAACAAGACACTCCTTCTCCTGGACTCCAGGCATTTTCAAAACTCGCCTCAGACATTTACTAGCTGTGTTATTGTAGGTACGTCATTTCATCTCTATAGAAGAAGGTGGGACTAGAGTCCTGGAGTCAGGAGGATCTGAGTTCAAATCCAGCTTCACAAGGATAAGTCACTTCACCCTGTTTGCCTCAGTTTCCTCATCTGTAAAAGGAGCTGGAGAAGGAAATGGTGAACCCCTCCAGTATCTTTGCCAAGGAAACCCCAAATGGGGTCACAAAGAGTCCACACGACTGAAATGACTGAACAATAAGAAGTTCCCTTCCAAATCTATGACCTTATGAAGTTATTCCCATTGTTCCTGGTTCTGCCCTCCAGAGCCAGCAAGCCCTTCAAATATCTGAAAAACATCCACCGTGACTCATTTTCCCAAGCCTTCTCTTCTCCAACCTAAACACACCCACTTCCTTCATCACATCCTCATCTGGCACAATAGGGAGGCCGTTTGCCATCATGGTTGACTTCTCTGTATGGTCTCCTATGAATGATCATTGACTAGCCTTCCTAAACAATACTGCCCACAACTGATCCCGTCCATTGCTCCCAATGTGGTCTGACCAAGGCTGAACCCAGATGGGGTTTACTCCTTCTCCAGTCCTAGACACTTGGTAAAAACTCTCTCAATGAGAATTAAACTGGATGGTCTATACGGCCCCTTCTGGCTGTAAAACAAAAGGACCGGGGCATTCTCTTCTCTGGTGCCTTCTTCAACCCAAGGGAGAAAACGTGCCTGGTGTCCTCAAGGTGGGAAGACCCTGCTAAAAGCAAATCTATAGCCACAGAATGTAAAAGCATTGAGCTTCTGAGAATCAAAAGGCCTGGGGCTGGAACCCAGGGCTCCTTACTCACAGGCCAATGGGATCTACTTCACCTTGTCACACAGAAATTAATGAGCAGAAGAAACTCTGAGTCCTGCGGAGGGAAAGGGGAGAATTCTCCTCCATGGTCTGAATCACCAAATATTGGAGTTCCACGTCAAACATTCTATTAAACGTATAACTTCAAAAAACCTCTCTCCACTGATGTCTCTAATTTAGGGTGAGATTGTTGCCTGGCAAACCGAGAAGCTGAGTGATGTGCAAGGCTCCCCTGGTTAGGATTTTACATTTATCCCCATCAAGCTTCACCTCACTCCATCTGCCCCCAGTGCTCTTGCCCATCCATGCATCATCAATCCTCACACTCTGCCATCTGGTGCAGTCCCTATCTCCCCCACAGCTTTGTATTATCTACATATTTGATAAGGAAACTTCTCTTTATTGTCATCAACATCACAGGTCCCCGGGGGACTCCACTGGAGACCTTCTCCCAACCTAACACCAAATCAAACTCTAGTTTGCCTATTCAACCAGATGAGACCATGCACGGTCTAGCCACATCTCTCCAACTAGTCCACAAAGACTTTCTCTTACCAAACTAAAGTACATCTTCAGCATTCCTCTGATCCACTAGCTTAGAAACTCAGTCAAAAAAAGGAAATGTAACCTGTGGGCCAAAGGTAACCATTGCCTGCCTCAGTTTCCCCAACCATAAAATGGAAATAACAAAAGCACCTCCCTCTCCCGGTGGCTGTGAGGATAAAATAGGACATTTGTAAAGCACTTTGCAAATCTTGAAGCACCGTATAGATTCTAGGCATTATTCATTTATTTGTTTCCTTTCTTTGATTTTGCTCACTATGAACGTTTGAGGCGTTCTTCCTCAGATTCTCCCCCAGCACATCATAATCCTGAGCAACATCTTCCAGGTTCCTTCTGGTCAGGTTCACCTGACAGTCATCTCAGCAGGTTCTCTTGGATACTGGCCCTGGTAGGTCCCCACTCCTCTCTTCTTACTAGGGAGGAAATACTTCATGTGAGGGAATCAGTGGGTCTGTTCCTTGAGGGGTCAATGAAGCTTTCTCCTTGGAGTGCCCCACTCCTTCTTTGGAAGAGCCTCTGGTCTCTTTCATAGCTCTAACTGTTCCATGTTATTCTCTCTCTGTCTCTGACTGTCTCTGTGGCTGTCTCTCTTTCTCCTTCATCCCTGTCCTCCTGCCTCTTTGGAATCTTCTCTTTGCTCTCACCCAGAAATCTTTCTTCCAGGCATTCCAGGGATGCTTCACTACCCCTGATGCCCTGCAATGTGGAGAGGCACCCGAAGCTCTTTCACCTACACAGCAGCCTGCCCTTTGAGCCTAGACAGGAGTCACTTGGCTGTGGTACAAAGATGAACATCCCATACTCCAAGCACTGTGAGGTTCTCTCTAATCTTCCATCCTTGACCATTCTTGTAGGAGCTCTTAAAGGTCATCTTCTGTGGAAAGCTGCTCAGCCCCCCATTTAGCACAATGTGTGGCATACAGTAGGCACTTAATAAATGCACATCGACTGACTGGATGACTGCGGCAACTGCGTGTAGTGGCCTCAGACCCTGGAGGTCCCACTGTCCTCCTTCACTCTTTCACATAATGACAACTATCTCATTTTCAGTCTCTGTCCGTTATAGTTGAAACCCAACTGTGAAGATGAAACGGCCTGAGAGGGATGCCTGTTTTCTCCAGGTTGAAATGAGATTTCTTTACGGCAATCTACAACCTGGCTTCACCTTGCATTTCCAATCGTATTTCATCTTCCTCCCTTCACAATCTCCATGCCAGCCAAACCTAACTAACCAACATTCTCCAAACTCAAAGTCCTACCCTGAGCTGCCATGTTTTTGGTAGGCTCGAGCATTCTCCCTTCTCTCCTCCGCCTACTGGAATCGCTGCCTCCCTTCCAAACTAATCCCAAGCATCACCTTCTACGCAGGCTCTTCCTGATGTCAAATCCTTATCTGTGTCTGTGTTCTATGCTCCCATTAAAATGTAAGCTTGTGGAGGGCAGGCACTGTTTCTTTTCATCTTTGTATCCTCAGTCCCTGGCACGGAGTGGGTGCTTAATAAATAAATATTTGTTGAACTAAATTGTGTCTTGGGGAGTAGGACTTTCTACACCCAAGTGGTGGCACCTTCCATGTGGACAGATGGGCAGCCTTCAGTGTCTATGGGGTGGGACTTCCCATGTTTGCATATAGAGGGTGTGGTTTTCTCCATGGAGTTGAACTAAGCTCTGATACTATTTACCTGCACCCCATCCTGGGCAAAGAAGGCCCTGGCATCACCTTGCGTTGCCAGTTGGAGGCAGGTAGCACCCCCCCAGAGTGGGGACCGGTGTAGGAGCAGGCGAGTGGCTCGGGACTCACTGTTATGGTGACATTGTGTGAACAGACCTAGAGAAAGAGAAACAGAGGCTGGGGCCAAGGGTAGGATGCCTCTGCCCTCTCCCCACCTCAAGGGAAACATCCACCTTAGAGATGCCCCCAGAAATGTATCCCCCACACATGCCCTAGGAATCATTAGGGGTGTGAGATTGGGAGCCAGAAAGGACCTTAGAAGTCTTTGATTCTGAACCACTCATTTTACAATCAAGTAAATTGAGGGGCAGAGAGGGCAGGTCCTGTCCCTAGCTCTCCATGCAGTCACAGCAGCGATACTCTAGGAACCTAACGCAGAGATGGCAGAATTCTAGACCCTATTACAGAAGCTCCCAATGTTCCACAATCCTGGCTCCGTCACCCAGACTGTTACCTGTTTTCCACCCGTCCAGTCCCAGAGACCCCCCCCCCCCAGCCCGCAGAGATCCACACGTACTCATGGCAAGCCCCTCAAATTTGGCGGCTAGCTCCTTTCTCCTGGCAGCCTCCTCAGCCTCATGTTCCAGGCGGGCCAAGACTCGAAGCAGGAGGCAGGAACCCAGGGCACAGGCCACTGAGTTACTCCCCTAGGAGAGGGGAGTTACAGGTCAGGGGTCATACTCAGCCCCCTCCCCACCCGGATCCTATGGCCCAAGGGCCAGGCCTCACCATCTCCCAGAAGTACACAGCCATCTGAGCCCGATTCAGAAGCAGGGCCCAGAGCAGCAGGTCAATCCAGGGGGCCTGCCCGAGGGTGGTGTCCCATGTAGAATCCATCAGGAGGCACATCTGGATAGACAAAGATGGGTTCAGAGGAGGCTGAGTGCTGAGGCCTGCATCCTCCTTGGGTCACATGAAGAGACTTTAGGCCATTCATTAAATGGCCTTCCCATGGGTCCCATGGGGGTGATAGCAGAGCTGAGGGCTGATGCCAGGATTCCAAATCCAGGCCCGTGTGCACTGTGCTACCCCCGTCCCATCTGGTCCTTACACTCTCTCGACGGCCCCCGGCGGGATCTGGCTCCAATTTGTCCTCCGCAGTGCTCTTGCGGTACTGAGGGGCACAGGCGGCCCCGAGCAGGTCGCGAAGAAGACGCCCCACATCCCGCAGGTGCACTTCTCGGAGAGGGGAGGCTGGGAGGACACCAGCGGCAGCGTTCTCCTTGCGGCCTCCATCAGCCCCAGGACCAGGGGCTACACGGTCCAGCAGGTGTCGGGCCAGCGAGCCTGAGGGGGCAGTTGTATAGAGATGGGCTAGCCGGGCCGGGGACAGGAAGTGACCAAGACTGAGACCCCGGGAGATGAGGAGACGCACAAACTCTGGCTGGTCGTTCACGAGAGCATCCTGGAGGGAGACCTCGAGGTGCGAAGACTGCAAAGTCAGGGGCAGATGGTTAGATGGACATGGGACAGACAGACCAGCAACAACAGATGAACAGACAGAGGACTGGCAGAAAGACAGGGGACAGATGGAGAGATGAGATGAGAGAAGAACCAAACACATATAAGGAAGGATAGAGAGAAAGAGGGGAGGCACAGGTGGCCAGAAATGAACCGACAACGAGCAGACAGAAAGATGGACAGGGAACGGACAAAGAGACACAGCTGGGGGATGAGAGGATTGGAGACATGGGGATAGGTGGGTGGACCGGACAGACCATCAGATAAGAGACAGAGGGACAGACGGATGGACGGGTGGACAGAAAGGACAGGGTAGAGATAGAGAGACCAGAGGATGATGAGGACAGACGGTCCAAGCAAATCAAGAAAGAGATAAAGCAAGCAGGAGAAGGACAGACATATACAGGGGACAGACAGACCAGAGACAAGGAAATGAATGGAAAGAGCCGACACAGAGGGATGGAGAGATATATGTTACAAAGGCACATGTTACAAAGGCACCGCACCTGTACATGCATACACATACATGTGTGCACACTGCGATGTACATACACACATGAGAGGCTCAGTCGGAGCAGGAAGAGAGATGGATGAGTAGAGTGAAAGGTTCAGGTTTGGATGGACAGACCAGGAATAAGGGGAGAAAGGGAACAGCAAAAGAAATGGACCACATGGACATATTGACAAGGGACTACAGACCCAGTATGGCTAATAATAATGACGATAATGATAGCTAACATTTATGCAGCATTCAGCACATCGGGTGCCACGCTACTTCCTTTAAAAATATTGCCTCATTTGATCCTCACGACATCCATGCTGTTATTATCCTCATTTTACAGATGAGGAGACTGAGGCAAATAGAGGTTAAGTGACTTGCCCAGGGTCACACTGGTAGGAAGTGCCCCAGGCCAGATTTGAATTTATTCATCTTCATGGTTCTAGATCCAACGCTCTTTCTACTTCAAGCAGAAGTGGGAAGGAAGAAGTCTGTTGTCCCACAATTCCATCTCCCTCATTTTTCCTACCTTCCCCTGGCCTCCTTACCCGCCACTGGATGTTCCCTCGGAATATCTCGCTCTGTGCAATGTCTACACGGTTCCAGGCCACGGCCAGACGTAATTCATCCATGTACGCAGACGCATCTGAGCTGCCGCAGGCTGGCCAGGGGTGAGAAGGGGAGGGAAGAGAAAGGATCAGTCCAGCTGTTGGATGCCCGGCCTCCAGTGGCAGGGAGGAGGGCACCATTACCCTAGAATGGCCTAAAGAGGTAGACTCCAGAAAACATGGCGGCAGGCATCAGACCTTCTCATGCCTCTAGTGGAGAAGGCCACTCCGATTCCAAGAATGGAGTCATGAGCTGAGGCACACCACCGATGTTTTTTCAAATTAATTACAACAGCTCTGAGTCGAGGAAGATAAAACAAGGGACCAAAGCAGAAGACAAGGAACATTTTGGGGTGAGACGCTATGAAAGGAAGCTTAGCACAGAGGACAGGCAGGGCAGAGAGAGAGAGTCAGGATCCGTAGCAAGAATGGGACTATCCCATGACCCCGCTGTAAAAAGAGGCTCAGGACTAAGGAAGGAGGCAGGCCGAGGCCAGGCAGGGTGATCATAGCCCTCCCCCCGGTAGAAATGGGGACACTGGAGGAGGAGGAGCCTCACCCTTCACCAGAGCCCTCAGCACCACAGTCTCAAGCTCCTCAGGACCATCATCAAAAGAATACACCGTCAGCATCTCCCGACGAGTCATGATCCTCTCTATCTGTGCAGGATGAAAGAGAAGGCAGGGTGAGCAAAGACCTTTATCCCCCAGGCCCTGGTAGGCTCTGAGTCCACCCCTCCCAGGATACCCTGCCCCTAGGAACCCCCACACATGGATAGAAGATGAGCTCTCTGAAGGCAGAAATGGTTTCATTGTTGACTATGAACCTTTTGGGAAACAGGCTCGGTTTACTTCCTAAAATTGACTGGATTTATTAGGTGCCAGATAAAGAGAGGAAATTCAGGAGCTGGAAATTGAAGTGGCTAAGGCTTTTAGGACAGAGACAGTTGCTTAAGGTCATTCAATGTATGTAGAGTTGAGACAGTAATACAGGCTCCCAGTCCCTCACACCTGGGCCTCTCAGCCCCTCATAACTGAGACCCTCAGCCCCTCATACCTCAGACCCCCAGCCCCTCATACCTGGGCCCCCCAGTCACTCAAACCCGAACCTTTCAGCCCCTTACACCTGAGACCCCCAGCCCCTCATACCTCAGACCCCCAGCCTCTCATACCTGGGCCCCCCAGTCACTCAAACCTGAGCCTTTCAGCCCCTCATACCTGAATCCTCCAGCCCCTCATACCTGAGCCCCAATGGCCTCAAGGTCACCGTTGGGAAAGAAGCTCCGGATCCGTTCACTGATGCTTGCACTTGGGGTTCCAAAGGAGGGGGAGGACTCCCTCACAGCCTGCGCTTCCTCCAACGTCTCAGCAAGACAGTCAGCAGCGCCCCCAGAACCTGCCACTAGCAGGCAGGGCAGCTGAGCTTTGGTGGCATCTTCCACACGCTGGAGAGAGTGGGTTTGGGGACTAAAAGTTCTTAGATGTTTAGGTCAACTCCCACCCTCCTTGTAGAGTCAGACACTCTGCCTCCAGCCTCACCCCATCGAGGACCTATCAGTCCCCTTTGCCCAGCTTCTGCCCTTTGAGGATGCAGGCACACCCTCCTCCAGCCTTCACTCCCTCAGGGATCCATGCACCCCTCCCCCAGCCTTCACCCCTCAGGGACCCAGGCACCCCTGCCCCCAGCCCTTACTTCCTCAAGGACCCAGGTAGCCCAACTCCCAAATACCTGTAACATGTTTTCGTTTCCATCAATGAGGAGAAGAAGAACAGGGATGTCGATTCCTGTGCCTGAAGAAAGATGAGAGCAGATGGAGTTCTGGAGTCCTGGGTCCCCAGACACCATCCCAGCCAGCCTCTGAAGAGGGATGCCGTCACCACACCCCCTCCTGGAAGCCGCCCAGCCTGAGCACCTGCTGCCTTCTCAGCTCCTCTGGCCGGGGAAGGGAAGGCAGGACTCACCTCCAACCCCGGTCTTTTGCCGGGAGATGTAGGACTCCAGCTTGGCCCGGAAACGGGTCTCACCCCCGAAGCGTCCATAAGTCCCATCATCCACCAGAAAGAAAGCGGAGTAGTTATAATCCAGGGAGTACTGGGCATCATCCTCAAGATTTCCTCGCCAATTGTATTGAGCAGGGAACAGGCCCTGGGTAGGGAGGCACCACACTGAGAGCCCTGGAGTCCCCAGCCTGCCCCGAGAGCCCCGCCCCTCCCTGAGGGCAAAGGGAAGGACCCAGGTGTTCAGAGCAGGGCCTCACCTTGGGGCTGATGAGGGCCTCCCTCCTCCTTACTACACCCCAGGGGGCTACGCCCATGGCGACGACCTTAGCGGAACCTGTACCCGCCGTGTTGTGGTCCTGCACGGCCACCCCGACGTGCCGACCGATGCCAGTGTGGAGCCCCTCAGTCACAATCCAGGCCCCTGGGTGGGAGGAAGCCCCGAGGCCCCGGGGGTCAGGACCAGCCTCCTTGCCCCCTCCCCTCTGCCTCTCCTCCCTCATTCGCCTATCACACACCCTGTAGGAGACAGACAGTCATGCAAAGGCAGGAATGTGATTGGGACTGAAAGGGCCCTCAGGAGCCTTCTCCTCCAACTCCTGGCTTGGACAGAAAGGGAAACAGAGGCACGGGGGAACTGAAGTAATTTGCCAAAGTGACCCAAAGTCAGAGGCAGAATTTGAACTCGGGTCCTCTGACTCTGGTATCACTGAGCCACGGGAGCTAGCAATGGGGGCAGGGGAGAGACGGGGGTGGGTGGGCACTAGGGTAGACCAGGCAGGAAAGGAGCAGAGGAGGAAGAGAAGACTCACCGGTGCTGTGGGCAGCCCTCATCAGCCCCCCACGCAGCAGGTCCCTGATCCAAGGCTGCAACATGGGGCCTCCGGAGCCCCCCAGCACAGACACCACAAGGTTGGGGGGTGGGAAGCCCCAGGTGCGAGTGACCAGGGCGTAGGCTGCTGCTGGGTCTGTGCGGTCAGACAGACGAATGAACTACCCAGGGAGACAGAGACATGACACGGATGGCGCTCGCCATCTGCCCCAAGTCACCTCTCCTCTCTGCTCCCCCCACCCCAATGGCTAGCTTGACCTTAGCGACTGCTTTATCCAGTGGGGCTCTCCCCACTCCCCACAAGGTGCTGGGGGTCTGATAAACCTGGAAGAGAATAAGGGCTGCATGGGCAGTAGGAAATACCAAGGGGCCCCGGGAGAACTGTGGAGAAGCTGGGGCAGGGCGGGGGGGCAGGGGAGCGGGTCAAGGGAGCGGCACCTTGCTGAAACCTCGCCCAGCACCATGGAAGTCCACGTCTCCATAGGCATCAGTGGGTCGTTCTGTGGTGTGGTGATCCCCGTCCCACACTGTGACCACAGCAGCTCCGAAGGCATCTTCCACGGCCACAGAAGGGTGAAACTCCCGGCGGCGACCACACTGGCATCGGTTGCCCCTGCATGGGTCAGAGAAAGGGACGCTCGGACTCAGGGACTCAGGAACCCAGGGACTCAGGGACCCAGGAGCTCCTAGGTTCAAGGACACAGAGACTGGAGAGCCCAGAGGCTGCCACAAAGGCACCGGTCATACCAGGCACTGACTGCCTGCTAAGACCAGGTTCCAGCACTTCCCTGATGGGGCAGCAACAGGTGGGATCTCAGGACTCCTGAGTTCAGCCTTACCCGGGATCACTGAGATCAACCACAAAAGTCGTACAAGTTTTCCTCTTGAAGATTCGCGGGACCCAGCTCTGGGAAAGGGGGTAGAGACACAGGCTGAGGACGGGAACCCTCAGACATCCTCATATCAGGCTTCCTCAGGGAGCCCCTCCCCCAACCTCCATCGATCAACCAAGGATGCAGATGTCCAAGCCTTCAGATTCATCCCCTCTGTCCTAGGGGACCCAGGTGCCCAGGTGCCAGCCCTTCCCCGGCTCCCTCCCAGACCCGGGCATCCGTGCCCTCAGATACTCTCCCCTTCCCCTAGAGGACCAGGGCGTTTGGGGCACCTTGCTCCTTCAGAGACCCAAGACTAGCTGGTCGCTCAAACCCTCAATCCAGGATTCCTGTAAAGGACCTGACCAGTACCTGCTCCTTCTCAGGCCCCGCCATGTCTCCTGCTGTCTCTGCAGTAGCCTCAGCCTCACCCTCCGCAGCCCTGCCCAGCCCAGAACCGGCTCCGTCACATCCCACCCCACCCCCCTGTCTGCTCAGGCTCCAGCCTGCCTCCTCCAGTCCTCCCTCCCAGGAGGCGGGGACGGGGGCGGGGGCAGGAGTGAAGGATGGCCAAGTGCATCTCTGCCCTTGGGAGGGCCAGGCTGAGACGGACCCCCAGACAGAGGGGAGAGAGACTGAGGAAGATCTGAAAGAGCCTGAAAGAGCGGAGACAGGATCATTGCGGGTGGAGGGAAGGACTAAGGCACAGAAACATGGAGAGAGGAAGCAGAGACTGAAACAGATCCAGAGATGCTGAGAGACAGTTGAGACAGGAGGCTTCTGGGCCTCAGTTTCCCTCCTGGTCCAATGATAGAGTTGGGCTCCAAGATCACCAAGCTTTGAATGGCTCCAGGTACAAAGTTCAGCCAGAGCCAGGGACCAAAGAAAGACAGAAACAGGGGAAGGGAACAAGCTTGTATAAAGTGCCTAGCATGTGCCGGTCACTGTGCTAAGTGCTTTACACATATTATCTTATTCGATATAACCCTGAGGTAGGTGCTATTAACATCCTCATTTTACAGTTGAGGAAACTGAAGCAGGTAGAGGTTAAATGACTTGCCCAGTGTCACACAGCTAGTAAGTGTCTGAGGTCTTCCTGACTCCACTTCCTGATTTATTCTATCTACTGTCCCACCGCCTGCTTCAGAAAATACAGAAAAAGACAGAGGCCCCAGGCCCAGGCCCAGGAAGGGAACAGCTGAGTCCCTGTAACCAGACCCTGCTCACCTGCCCATGCCCTTATGCTGAGGGTATTTTTAACTCATGCCCACTGAGGGCTCTCAGCTGGAGAGGACAAGGGGACCAGAGGATGTCTGAGCTGAACTCATCTCTGGCCTCACCCCTGACCCCTAGCTGGGGCTCCTAGCCTGGATCCGACTGCGCCACCAGTCTGGCCAGGACATCCCCCTTAATCCCAGAGACCCCTCCCTCCCCAAAACCCCTGGATGCTGGCCCAGCCTGAGGCCCAGGCAGGAATATATGAGGAGAGGAGGGGAGGGCAGGGCCTGGGGCCAGTCCCAGAATAGACACCGCCTTGGAGGTAAAATTAGCCCAATGAGAGGGTGGGGGCTGAAACTAGCCCACTGAGGCTGAGCTCAGAGGGCATCAGGACCTGGAGGAGACAGAGACCCAGAGAAAGGCAGAGTCAGAAAGCACCAGCCAGTGATTGCTGGAGAGACAGCAGGCTGAGAAAGCACAGAGAGGACAACAGAGGCAGAGACAGAGAGCGGAGCCCCAGCCTGGCTCCACGGTCCCGGCTGACCTCATGGGTCCCTTTTGGCCAGGTCTCCGCTGCGGCCTCTTCCTCCTCCTGCTGTCGACCTCCATGGCCCCCAGGGGCCTTTCTGGAGCCCAAGCCCAGGCCGTCCCCAATGCTGCCCTGAGTCCCCCTGGAGGCCCCGAGGACAGAAGCCGGCCCAACTACGTGGCTGCTCCCGGCCACAGTCCAGGGGACCACCGAGAGGAAGAAGAAGCCGCCTCGGCCGAGGCTGGGCTCTGGGGGGCCCGTCACGAGGAGGCCGAGCACAGCCACCCTGAGGACGTGTCTGTGGAACATGGGCACTGGGGGGGAGAAGAGGAGGAAGAGGAGGAGGACGATGCCTCCCATGAGCAGAGGACCCAAGGCCACGAGCATGAGGATGAGGACGATGAGGACGACGACGACGATGACGACAATAAGAGTGCCTCACAGGAGGAGGCCTCCTGGGGTGGCCACAAGCCCCAGGCCCCGGAGGAGGAGGAAGAGGAGGACGACGCCTCCGATGAGCAGAGGACCCAAGGCCACGACGACGAGGACGACAATAAGAGTGCCTCACAGGAGGAGGAGGAGGAGGAGGAGGAGGGCGCTTCCACAGAGCACAGCCACAGGGACTTTGGGGACCGATGGCACGAGGAGGAAGAGGACACGTCAGCAGAGCTCGGGCACTGGGTCAGCCACAGGGATGACTCCATAGAAGAAGGGCGCCTTGGCCCAGTCTCTGCCAAGCCTCCAGGTCGGGAGGAGGAGGAAGAGGAGGAAGAAGAGGAGGGCTCTGCGGCCCAGCACAGCCACTGGGGAGACCCCGCAGGCAGCAGGGGGCCCCACGAGGAGGAGGAGGACGACCAAGCAGCTCGGCACCACAGCGGGGCCCAGAGTCAAAGAGAGTCAGGAGAGGAGGCTTCTGCCGACAGTCAGGACGACCACCGAGAAGACGGCAGCATCTCTGCCGAGCGTGACCGCAAGCCTCCGGGCCCTCAGGAGGAGGAGGAGGAGGAGGAGGAGGAAGGCCACAAGAGAAGCCAGGAGGAGGCTGAGCACCAGGAAGTCTCCTCCACCCAGGAGTCCTTGGGGGTTGAGGTCCCAGGTGAGGACGAAGAAGAGGAAGCTGAGGACGGTGTCCCAGAGGCCAGAGACAGCTCTGAGGAAGCAACCAGCAGGGCTCCTGGAGAGGAGAGCCTGGAAGACATCAGTGAGGAGGGGGAGGAGGAGGCCAGAGGCCAGGGTGAGTGATCAAGTGACCAGTGTGGGGGTCAGCAGGGGGTGGGGACGGACTGAGACATCTCTGTGCCATCTTTTCACAGGCCAGGAGGAGGGCAAGGAAGAGGAGTACCAGCCCGGCTCTCTGTGCCATTACTGTGGCTTCTGCAAGGTGCCTGAGTGTGTGTGTATGGGGGGGGGGGGGTCCCCGTCCTTGCTGGGCTCTGTGCTTTCCCGTGGAGCAGGCCCGAGATCCCCGCCTGGTGCCCCGTCTGGGCGCGGATCTGTGGCCGTTACCATTTCTCTTTATCGCTATCTCTCCGAGGCTCCGGCTTCTGGATGTCGCTCTTTCTGTGTGTCAACCTGTCTGTTATCTCTTGTATGTCTCTGACTCCCCGTGTCCCACCACCCCCTCCCTCTCCTCAGAGATGCACTGAGTGCGAGTCCTGCCGCTGCGACGAGGAAAACATGGGAGAGCATTGTGATCACTGCAAGGTCAGAGACCACCCCTCCCTGCCCCACCCCCAGGCCCGCCCAGCGGACCCGGCTTCTCTCACAGCCCAGTCTGTCTCTATTCCCACCAGCACTGCCAGTTCTGCTATCTCTGCCCTCTACTCTGCGAGACGGTCTGTGCCCCTGGTGAGCAAGGGCATTGGGGGTGGGGCTGCTCTGGAGGCGGGGCCAGGAGGCTTCCGGACGTTCTGGGGAGGAGCCTACTGAGGGGGTGGGGCTGCCCTGGAAGGTCCCTGGCCTTTCCAGGGAGGAACCTCTTGGGAGCGGGGCTGATCCGGAGGGGAGGCTACTCAGAAGGTGGGCGCAGGAGGTCTCTAGACTTCTAAGAAAAAGCCTCCCGGGAGCGGGGCTGGAGGTCTCCCTGAGGATGGAGCCGCTCTGGAGGCGTGGCCAGAAGCTGTCTAGGGAAGCTCTTTGGATGTTCATTGGAGGAAGGTCTTGGGGGCAGGGCTTCTCAGCGGGCGGGGCCAGATACTACCGAGACTCGTGGGAGAAGCCTCCCTGAGTTGGGCCAAAGGTGTCCAGATGCTGACTGAGACCCACCTGTCGCCCTTAGGAGGCTATGTGGACCACTTCTCATCCAACGTCTTTCAGTAAGTGCGAATGTGGCTGGGACTGTGTATGTGGGGGCGGGTGGGGGAGGGCAGGAACCAGCCCTTACCCGCCTCTGACCCTCCCCAACAGAGCCTTGACCGAGATGGTGGAAACTCCAGAGGCGTGATGAACTTCTGGACAAACAGCAACCCCCACTCCCGGCTCCACCCACTTATTTATTATGAATAAACCCTATCCTTGCAGGAGCGTGCAAAGGATTTCTGGGATTATGGGCGAGGATCATCTGGGGTTCCTCCCCCGAGGAGGGAAGGGCTGCCTGGATCTTTGAGGGGAAGGGGCGAACCCAGGGTTCCCTAGGAAATAAACGAGCGGAGGCTGGTCTTTTGAAACAGTTTTCTTTCACCAAGATCACTGACATCTGAGGTGGGGGCACGAGGAGGGAGGGGGCCCACGGCCCACCCCCTCCCCTGCCCCTGCCCCGGCGGATTCTCCCATGCAAAAACAAAACAAAACAAACAAACCAAAAAAATAAAAAAACAAAAAACAAAAACAAAACAAAAAAAACGGAGCCCGCGGGGAAGACCAGGAACGGGGCGGCGGGGGGGGGGGGGGGGAAGACACCTGGGTTCCTTCTTTCCCTCCATCCCACTCCGCAGAATAACGGGTTGGGGGGAGGGGAGGACGAGATCCAGGGAACGCGAGACACACGGACGGGGAAGGGGGCCCCCAAGCCCCACCCCAAAGATGCCTGCCTGGATAATCGGGACCCTGAGGCGTCCCGGATAATCGGAGGAAACGAGGCTTCCACGTCCCCCCCACCACCACCCCCAGGGAAGGAGAGAGGGGAAGAGAGGAGGGGGCGGGGCCTGTAGCAGCGAGTCCCCCGCGGGGGCGCACCCGGGAGGACCGGGGCCCCGGGACTGGAGAGAGGTGCGAGGACGTTGGAAAGGAAGGAGCAGGGGTCGGGCCACGCCCCGCCCCCAGCATGCGGCCCCCTGAGGAGGCGGGGTTGTGTCCCCTCCCCTCCTCACTCGGAAACAAATAAATTACAAAGTAGCAAAAGGGAGGAGGAAGATTCCAAACTGCCCCCTCCCTTCCCGAAATCCAGTTCACATGGATTGGCCAGAGGCTGAGACACGCCTCTTCCTCCCGGTCTATACAAAATGGTTCAGTCCAGAGAGCCCCTCTAGTCTCTCCAAACCCGGTCCATTCCGAGGGCGAGTCCATTCTAGAAGGAGGAGCAGGGGCGGACCTTTATCTCTCCCTACTGAGGCTCCTCCTGGGCGCGCCCACCTGTACCGGAGGAGGAGGGAGGGCAGGTCAGGAAGCTCGGAAAGCCGTGGCTCCGGGACTCCCGAAGGCACCCTCACCTGGCTGAGCACTAACAAGAGTATGTCCGAACGGAGACTCCGCCATCCGCCCGCGGGCTCCCAGAAGGAGGTCCTAAGATTGAGGCAACAGACAAGGTCAGAAGGACCCTCTCTTCCTCCAAGTTGCGAGCCAATTGGTTCGACCCATTCCTACTCCGTCCCGCCCCCTCCTAATCAGCAACTTTATTGAGTAACTGCTGTATGCAAGAACCTCGCAGACGCCCAGGGAGTACAGTTTGCAGGAGAGCGATGGGTTCTCCCCTCTCCATTTCCTTGAGAAGCTGGTAAAAATGTCATTAAAAATTCCCCGTGTCCCCCGGGAATCGATTTGCCAGGATACCATCTCCATATCCCTCGCCTCACAGCACAGCTGTAACGGACTTACCCAGGCTATTTCCCCGTCCCGCAACATTGGACTCTTACAGAACCTCTCGTCCCAACACACTTACCCTCCCGGGATTAGGGGTTCCTGGGTAGTCCCTTACTCCTCTCTTTCCTGCTTAGCCTTTCCCCACCCTGCATTATCTCCCCCTTTTCTCAAAAGAATGACTATTTTCAGAGATTAGACTCCAGGAATGTACCAGGGTCCCCTCCCCCGGTTTCTCTCAAGAATGGTTGACGCCCCCAGCCTCTCGTGCTACACCCGTCCAAGGTCCATTTCCCTCCACTAATAGTGAGCTTTTCCGAGCCCCGAGAGGTGCCTTGGGCGAGTCCATCTCCGCCCTAATGGGGGGAGCCCCGACGGGTCGTAAAGAACGCACCGTCGGGCTGCAGCTTGCGCAGAGGGAGGCCCGGCGAGCCCAGGGCTCCCGCGGCCGCAGAGCGGAAGTTGGGCGGCAGCATCTCGGCCGAATCCGGGCTCACCCCGCGCAAGTCCTTTTCCCGGAACATCTTCCGCCACGACGGGGATCGGCTGAAAGACTTGGCGCTGTCCTGTGGAAGATAAGGGCCACAGGGTCACCGAGCTGGCTGGAGCAGGGGCGACCCAAGCAGAGCTTGCTCCCTGGGCCGCCTCCCCCCAGCGCCAAGCCTGGGGCCCCTACCTCGTCGAGCCTCCGGTCAGTGCCCATGGAAATGAGGTTGCCAAACTCCTTCTCCAGCAGCTGCCGGGCCTGCGGAAAGAGCGTCGAGGCGTGAGCAGGCTGCGGGCAGCTCTCGTGCTGGCCACGCGAGACCCTTCACCCCCCCCCCAGGTTGGCAGCCGCCCGACCTGCGCGTTCTGTGTCGGGATCTGCAGCAGCAGGGCCAAGTCTGAGCAGTCGAAGGTCTCGTCCAGAGCCAGCAGCGCCCCGTGCACGCCGCTCTCTGACAGGTTTCCAGCAAATTCCTTCAGCCCCAGGCCTGACACCCAGCCCATCACACGCTCATTCGACCACACCATCACGTCTGAGGAGGAAGGAGAGGGGCTTGGATGCCAACCCCAACCCAGCCCTCTCGGCCAAGCCGCGGGGGGGCCTAGACATTGATTACTGACCCTTTGGGGGGGGAGGAACAGAGCCTGGAACGTTACCACCAATGCCACTGCCCCTGCCCTGCTCATTGGACCACACCATTTTATTGGGGTTGGGGGGAGCCCAGAATGCTGACACTGACCCCCAGATTGTCTTCCAGCTCTTTCAAACACTGAAGCCCATCCTCGCTGGGTTTCACCCTCACCCAGCCACATCTTTGAGGGAGGGGGCCTGAGCCCTGAACTCCAACACCAGCCCCCCCAGCCGCACCTCTCACGTGGCTCTGACTCTCCTCTCGCCTCCGCTCAAGGTCCTTACGGTCATAGTTGAGCCTCTTCAGACACATGATCCCATAGTGCAGACTCACTCTGGGGGGTTTAGGGATAGGAGAGTGGTTAGGTCATGCTAGGGGGATGAGCCAGGCACAAATCCCTTAGGGGGCGGGGTCTCCTCAGAAAACCTCCCCATTGGCCATTCTTCCTCTAAAGGGCGGGGCTTTCACGAGGCTGTTCCCATTGGACACTATTGTCCCCACTACTTTTCAGGTGCTGATTCCCACTGGCTCCTGTACTTCCCCATGGGCGGGACTTCCCAGGAGCTAGTTTCCATTGGTCACTGTCTCCGCATGCCTAGGCCGGCCCCTACCTGTGGAAGCTGTCTACCATCTTGAGCTGGCCTCGAAGCTCTTTCTTGTTGAGGTGGTCGAGCATGCGTGCATCTACTAAGGATTCCATGAAGTAGCTGCGGTACTGGGGCAGCCCCAGGCTGGGCAGCCAGTCGTTCCCCACCCACTCGTGGTTCATGTCACCGTATGCCAGGATCTGGGGCCAGTGGGGAGTGGGGAGTGGACAAGCTCAGGAACAAGGATGGGATGAGATGTCCAACATCTCCTCCTCTTCTGCAATGGGACTTTCCAAGGTCTCCCCCCTCACAGGGCAATGGAAAGATCCTTGAGCTAAGTCCCTTCACACCTAATAGAACAGTCCACTGACTCCCCCATCAGTACAATGGGATAGTCCAGTTGGTTTAATATTTCCCTCACTTCTTCCCTGACCACCTCCAAAACCTCTACCCCAGAAAAAAAAAAAAGTAGGTTGAGCTTCAGTCTCGATAGAACGAGAGAATGAAGCTCGCTATCGAGGGAATGAACTGATCCACTACAATTGTCCTCCCTCTCCCACGATGAAAACAATCGACTAGTCATCATCTTTTCCTACATTATAAGGATCTTGACTACGGTTCCTACCAACGCTTCTTCCCCCTCCACCCGTGATGATAATGGAACATTCCAGAGCTCAGGCACCATGCAACCCGCGGTGATATGATGGTTCAACCCAGAAGGAGCCTTCCCCCTCCCTCGAAGATAATGGAACGTTCCGCGGCGCAGTAATACAGGCAGAGCAGGCGCACATAGATTCTTATGACAGTGGTTCAGTCCAGAGCGTCTCCCTCCCCAGCTTTCCTCTACATTGTCCGCCCCCCCCCAGCCCGCAATGATAATGGAACGGCTCAGGCAGGGGCAGGAGCAGGGAAGAGGTGGAGGAGCCATGCAGTCCGCGCGCAGGCGCAGACGGGATCACCTGCTCCCAGCTGATCTCCTTGGGCTCCTGGCGCGGCCACCGCAGGGAGCGCGAGGGGAGGGGCGAAAGAAGGGGAAGGGGCGGGTTACGGCGCAGGAGGGGCCGGGATGGAGACCAGTCTCCTCCTCCTCCCTCTCATCCTCTCCCTCCCCCTTGTCCCCGCCCTCCCTCTCTCCAGGGTAGACTCACGGGCTTAGTGGCGGCCGTGAGGGACTCCATCTCTTCGTGGGTCATCCAGACATTGCCGGTGCACTGCGGGAGGGGGGTGGCATTGAGAGCATGGCCCCGGCCCGGCCTGGCCCCTCCTTGCACCGTGGCATAGACCAGGAGCACTCAGGGAGGGGCCGGGCCCACCCCTAAAGCACTATGGAGGATTCGAGCCCAGTGCAACCCGTGGGAGATCCCTGAGCTCACCCTTTTCTGCCGGTCAGTGTATGCCATTGTGACCCTGTCTGGCCCTCTGGCTCTGTTGTCTCGGACTCTGCTTCTGCCTCTGTGTCTGCCTGACCCTCGATGGGATCATGGATTTTGAACTGGAAGGGAGTCTTAATCACCTAGACCAAATCCCTCATTTTACAAAGAAGGAAACTGAGGTACAGTGAGATTAAAGCACTTAACCAAACTCACATAGATAAAAAGTGGCAGAGCCAAGATTTGTGCCTGCTTTCTCTCTGGGGCAGCTAGTGGTGCAGTGGATAGCCTGCTGGGCCTGGAGTTAGGAAGTCCTAAATTCAAATCCAGCCTTAGACACTGTACTAGCTGTGACCCTGGAAAAGTCACTTAGCTTCTGTCTGCCTCAGTTTCCTCAATGGTACAATGGGGCTAATAATAGCACCTACCT